CTCCCGCACGTATCTTCTTGTCCACAATCTCGGGAGCAAGACGTTTCGTCCATGCTTCTCTCGTAGTAGCAGTGAATCTCTCCATGGTTTTCAAGAGCCACGGCACGAATGGGTCAAGGTATGGAGAATACAGGGGGCCGTATTCGATCCAAGGGTCGGTAATAGATTCAGCTAAAGGTTCAGAGAAGAGCGATTCGGCTATTTCAATCGATCCAATGACTGTTCCGGTGAGTTTAATGATACTTTTTCTAACATCATGTTGGATCTGACAGTACTTTCGCCCTGTAGTAGCACCTTCGTGTTCTATGCTATAGCGGTATCGTAGAAAGTCGCTGTCCCCGCGGAGAAGCTCCACATCTGCAGTGAAGTCATGCCCCCAGGAAGGGCGGCCGATGTAGCTCGAGTACGTGTGTGCTAGTACAATGTACATGAGGAAACGTAGATCTTGTCGCTGTTTGATGATAGTGGTCACGGCCGTCTGGAATGCCCATGAGATTGACTGCGAATAGTCTGGTTCGAAAGGCTCGAAAAATGGCTTCTCTACAAGACCAAGGAGAGCATAGATATGATCTCGAGGATCGCACGCGTTCCTCTGTTGAGATGCATAGATAAGGTCTTCCAAAGGGATCGTTTTGGTGGTCTGATAGACTCGATATACACGGGCGAAGTCCAAGTATGGGTAAGTCCCGGCATTTTTCGGATATCCGGAAATCCTCGAAGACGTTATGTACTCTAGAATGTCGACAAAAAGAGTCCATGAAGCCTGGTTATGTCCACATATCAAGAGCGAGTCGTTGTTTGCTACAACGCCTTCTTGAACGGTCCAAACGCGGCTCCACCATGGACATCGAGTAAGGACTCCAACTTTCGCCCAGATGTGGTGAGCTTCCTTGAAGTTGATAGAATGATCGAACCCGTTCTGTGCAAGAAGCTTCAGTTCGTTTATAGCTATCCCTTTTTCGATGTCTTCTTCACCTAACCAGATGAGCACCCTTGACGCGGATGAGTATATCTGGCGCATCTTTCGAACTTCGCGGGACTTATCCTCAGGGCTATCTTGGTTGATGCACACAGCATCTATCCACAGATCTCGTGACCGGTTTGCGTATCGTAGGTATCTCAGAGCCAGTGAGAGATTAGACGTTATCGCTAGGGGCATGCAGTCGACTTCGAGTGTCTCATCTCCTCCTTGTTCTCCCCACACATACGAAAGAGCCTCATAGGCTATCGGTCGTGGCGAGAACGATTGGATTGTGAGCCGGCCGCGAAGAGGTGATGAGAACTCAGACGCTGGAAGCAGGGTGAAAACCCGAATTTGGGATAATGAGTGATCGAGCGGTTCGTAATGATATTCCTTGCCCATTTTGCAAGACCCTATGTGCCCCAGAAACACCTTAAAAGTACGTAGGCTTTCTGGTGCGGAACCTGACACACTGTCTTGCTGTCGGGACGGATGACGGGAAATAGGAAGCGCAGAATTCTCTGTGATGGATCGCAATCTGGAACTCTCGTTTCCAAACACTGGGAGTAAGATCTCTGCTCTCGGTGCGACGCCTCATCAGATCATCGTTGTGGAAGGTGGGGCTCCATGCGCACGCGAGGCGACATCCTTGGGAACTTTCTGGAAAAGTGTCAATTAAGGTCACAGTGTAGACTGCTCGGACAGCAATTAAAATGAATTCGGGATGTAACAATAATTATCCCTGATGGTAAGTGACGCAGAAGAGCAGTTCCATAAATGTCTTCTCGGCCGCGATCAGGTCACGTGTTCAGGGCGTCCCGCAGCTGAACAGGATGACGCCCCACTTCGCGAGTGAAGCTAATTGGGCAGGTCTGGCTACCGCGAAACAGCAGCAACGCTACCGGATTTACGCAACCGCTATCACCAGATGCGCAACCCTCAACAGATAAATACATAATCCAATTTCTATTAGAGATAATGCATAGTAGGTGTAAGCAACTGCATCAGGGTAGGCATTCTGTCTCTAGCATTCATGTATTTGTGACTTAGTCCCCACTTGTTCATTAGAAGAGGTCGCAGTCCGTTTCTTTGCCAGCACAAGGACAGTGTTCTTTCTGGAATTTCTGTCCTACTGTTCGATATCCTAGATGTATACATTGTACTATACGACAACAAACTATAGGACCTGATATGCTGTAGACGCTTACGATGGATTTAAGCTAGCTACTCTGGCATCGAAAAACTCAATGTATAATGCAACAGCTTCGGAAGTCATACCTAGTGTGAGCAATTGAGACTTCGTCGTCGGCCGACAGGAGTGAAACGTGAGACTCTGATGGCACTGACATACACGTATGAAGGAAGAGACGAAGGCAAATGCACACACTGCCCGTGAAGTGACCATATCAACTTCTGATGACATGTTGTTCCAGTGTCGATGAATACTGGATCTGCTTTCGATCGAGATCATCAACATGTCATTGTTGAAGTCAGTGAACCAGGCATACTTCACCGTTGGAGATGAAGACTATATCGTTGTGAGCCCTCTCGCCGGAACCCTATTGTGAAGATGATTGAGCGAAGTAAGGGTGTGACATCTGTGGCCCGGAAGTGATGGTACCTGCGTTTTGACTCCGGATGTTGTCACGAGCATGACTCCGTTGCTCCGTAGGGCGCTCAATGACGGGTGAGGAAGTACCATCAAACGTCCAACGCTCGCACTTGATGTCACAGTCACAGGATGTCGGTCACGTCAAAAGTGAATGAATGTTCCAACGACTGTCCCCCACGCAGTCATCCGCGATGGAGTGCAACATGGACATCTTCAATACCAGTTCATGGACCTGCCACAGCCAGGAGTTCTTCGAGTTTTCTAGTGCAGCACACATATCGCACACATATCGCACACACTCCCTTAAGTTTACGCATAATGCCTCTACCCACACAACGAAGCCCTACAGAACCTGATCGCATGGTTAGCGGACCCTCAATACCTTCGAGCAGAGAGAGTACGGAACACAGCGCCGCTCGGGAGCAAGGAACGTACCCTGACGATGAGGTGTTCTATCGTGAACACAACACGAAGCGACCAGCGCGGCAAACATTGGAGGCGGACATCCCTAGGACAAAGGAGGAAATCAAGAAACAGATTCGAGGTGAGATTTCCTCAGCGCGAACATTGCTCCATACAGCCTGAGTTGACTCCTAGACCAACAGATGTCGTCTGCGAGATCGTGGCTTCTGAGCCAGCGACGACCCCAAGTCGTGCCCCAGTATATGAGCCCACATCGACGAGAGAGGGTAGTCGCACAGTGGCGCAAGTGCTCAATATGCACACGAAACGGGCGCGGTGGGAAGCTGCTGCGGAGTCAGAGTTGGAAGCATACGAAAGCCTTTTACGAATATTGAGCTTACAGAGGAAGACGATGGGCTAGAGCTTGAACTATGGGAGGATTGGCATGAAACCGGTTGTATACAACGAACTGATACCCTTCTTGATATGATACCATTAGAGAGCGAGGAGAAATCTTCGGAGGACGTCTGGCAGAGAATCAATGACACACGTACATGTATACTTCAGCGTGTCATACGCCAGTACTGCTCGCAATCAAAAAGTCGTTGAGTGCCGTCACGAACTTGGAAGCTGATCACGGTCGAATGACATGGAGCGGATGTATTCTGCAATTGCTGGTATCTTCCTCGCCATCGATATCAGCTTTGAGTCCAACGAACATATGTATTGACTCACTGTTTCAAGCAATGACTGTATGTTTCGCACGGCTGTTGGCTTGGGCGCGTCCGTAGCTCGTGCGGCCCAGAGCCTTCTATAGGTCTCTGCCACTGCGTCATAAACTCATAGTCAGAGCTTTGCACTACCATCGTCCCCGTCCTCTTCCTCGGTCGCGCCAATCATCCCCACCTCCTCGTCCGCCTCTGCCCCCTCTTCCAAAGCTCAGCTCTCGATCTGGTGGCGCTTCGCCTCTTCTCCATTCACCAAACGGCACACCACCTCCACTTAATCTTCGATCGTCGAATCTGCTTCCACCACCCCTACCACCTCTTCCGAAGCCGCCATAGTCTCCCCGTCCACCAAAGCCGTTCTCGCGCGGTCGTCCGCCGTACGGTCCTGAAGGCGGTCCTCGACCCGGTCCAGAAAGCGGCGGAGGTGCAGCGGGTACGCTGCCGTCGGGTAGCGGGGGAAGTATGGCGCATGCCACATAGTCGCCTATCATAAACCTGACGTCCCCCAGTGTCTTGTCTGCGTCGCCGTCAAGCTGCTTGAGAGCCTCTGTGACACTTCCTCCCTCCACGCCGTTCATATCAATGTCCTCATCCCTTGGGCGCGCGCCTACAATGACGGAGCCTATGTCGCGCAATATGAATCGCCCCGGTGCGCCTGGCCGGTTGGAGCCTTGGATGTCTGGGTATACGAGTCGAAATGCGATGCGCGATCCGGCATACGGTTGCGGTAGTAATGTTGGTACTGCGCTGAGGAGTAGTGTGCATAGCTCGCGCAAACTACAGGTATGCCATGTGTAGATTTGGACGTTGGTTGGGAGACGTGGTAGTGTTGGGTCAAACTCGTCCAGTCTTTGAGCTATTAGTAATGTGTTCGCTTCTTGTGCTTGGGGACTATGAGGAGTGCGCACCTATGGAATGAGTTTTGCTTGAAGAAGAGGCGCAACAGGAAGGGCGTCGTTGTTTGACGGTCAATCTTCGCGGGGGCAGCCATTGTGAGGTCTACAGCCTTGTGGATAGCCAGGCTAGTCAATGTATTAAGTTATTTCGAGATTCGTAGGCACGTAGCGACAACTCGCTAGGAAAGTCGTGAGGAGGTGACGTCAGGCGCAAGACGTGAATGTGTTTGGAGAGTTTGGGGAGGAAGGAACGCGACCGGGACGCGGAGAGCTCCCACTAGCGCCTTCCTCGGCACGTACCTTCCACTGGAAGGCGCAGGTGAGCCTCCACGTCGCAAACAACACTGACTCATCCTCGACACGTTGACTCACTTTATACCCCGAACATCGAAGTCGCCAACATGGATTTCGCTAAGTTGATGTCCGCACATATAAAAAAAGGCAAAGACACAGCCTCACCAGCCGAACCTACCGAGAAAAAGTACTTGAAGCGCAGCGAGATCGAAGCACAGCGGCAAGCCGCATACGTCGCCGAACAAGAAGCCGCGGAGAAGGCACGACGAGAACGTCACGAGAAGAAGCGCAAAGCCGAGGAAGATGAAGCCGAGAGGGAAGCCGAGCGCCGGGAAAAGCGCATGCGCATGGCCGAGGAATCAAGACGCATAAGGGAAGAAGAGGAAGAGGCAGAGGAAAGACAGCGGCGAAAGCGGCTAGGTCTTCCTGATCTTCCACCCAAGAAGAAGGACGGTGAAGGAGACGGCACACCGGTCCCCGAAGACGAAGATATCGAAGACGAAGAGCTCGTCGCAAAGCTAAGAGCCCTCGATGAGCCAGCGTGGCTATTCGGCGAGACACACAAACAACGCTTGAAGCGATACAAGAAGCGCGTCGGCGCAGACAGCCTAGCAGCCATCATGACGGACGGTCCGATACCCACAACACTACAACTCGTACCGGAGAAGGACATGAAGGTCAGCCCCCAGGTACCCAAGGACAAGGAGGGTCGCGAGTTCCTCTTCAGGCAATTGGCGAGCTATTTCACCATGGTGCTGAAAGAATGGGACCTCACACTCCTACGCCGAGACCCCGAAGTCAAGGAGAGCTACCAAGGAAAACAAGCCTACGCCGCCATGGTACAAGCGCGAGAGAACATGCGGCCCCTGTTCAAGAAATTGGAGAAGTTCGATCTTCCAGACAGTATCGTCGAGCCCGTTGTCGAGATTGTGCACGCCGCACAAGAGCGAAGATACGTCGACGCGAACGATGGTTATCTACGTCTCAGTATCGGCAAGGCGGCGTGGCCCATCGGTGTTACCATGGTGGGTATCCACGAGAGAAGTGCGCGAGAAAAGCTACATGAGAGCGATAAGAATGCGGCGCATATCATGAGCGACGAGATGACGCGGAAGTATCTGCAGAGTATTAAGCGGTGTTTGAGCTTTGCGCAGACGAGGTGGCCGCCTACAGATCAGCTGCAGCTCATGGGCTGAGTGAGTTGGGATGGATTATCAAACGTCTGTAGGCAATTGAACAACTGCTTCCATCTCATTGTTTACCAACACGATGGTATCGTGTTGGATCCTGATCTTCGCAGTGAGAATCTCATCCAGCTGCTTCAGTGGTTCGCTGTCAGACTTGAACTTCTCCAATTCACCACAAAGTTTCGCGTTTCCCCGTTCCTGTCGCGCTTTTCTTACTCGCAGTTTTTTCAGCACGGTGTCTCTGGCATTGCTTCGTTGGCGCTTCTGAAATAAGAGAGCATTCATCTGGGCCGGATTTAGCACCAGAATGTAGATAGCCATCAAGAGATGACGCTCACGTAGTTTTCTCTTGTTTTATCCGCGGCCTTTTATTCCGTCTCCTACTTCGTGCTCGGTATGGTTTTGGCCGCTCGGACATGGGGACTGCCCTCACCAGCTTGACCACCCAAAGCCAAATCTGACCTGCTGCTGTTAGTGATGGTCTTTTTGGTTGCTAGTGCGCTCGAAGTGGTCTGAATCTAGCTTTATGATACCCTGAGGTGCTGCTACGTGATCTAGATCTTGAGTATATAGTTGCTCGCTCAAGCGATCGGCCGACTCGGTCGTGGTTGGAGATATGTGAGCCGTCACTCTAGAAGCCACAGATTTACCAGTGGTATATGATCAAAAGGCTACGAGCGACCCTACTGTGATGCGTGCGGGCTCTGGTGATCGCGCCAGCGCTCTATCAGTGGGCATCCACCGAAGGCTCTAGTTTTCCCTCGGAATGATCTTGAGCTCGAATGGCGGGTTCAATATCATGATCGTGTTGTGTAACGCGCTTTCCAGTGGGCGGTTTCAACGAACTAAAGATGGTCACAAAGAGGAGAGCGAGAAGGTGAAAGTAAAGCAGACTGAGAGATTGGAAAGAGATGGTCGACCGATGCATACTATGCATAATGCGGTGATACGGCTTTGGAAGTTTACCTAGGTGGTAGAATTAATGTCAGTGAGGGTAAACATTCGTCATTAGAGTAAAACTCGCGCTATGCTCATTCAAAAGAAAGCCGGGGTACCTGCTCTTTTATCTGAAGTTAAAGCGTTCGCACACTTGACCGGTGTTCTCGCTTTGTTGCACGTTGCAAAAGGCACAATGTAGGGCTTGGATGCAATCTCAACCTTTAGAGGTAAGGTACATGCATGTGTTCCCTAGATAGATTCAAACGAGTGTAGTGTGTGCCTGCCAGCAGACGCACTGTAGTCAGAGCCGCCAATGTTCGTGCCATTCCCCATCTGGTCACTTGCGCCTACTAACAGCCACGTAAGTGGGCTTCTTCTCCATTTGTGCCTGCTCTTCAGCTTCCAAGACACGCAGCAAGTCTTCCACAGCCTGGTACTTCCCGGAGCAAGTTTTGCTAATTGGGCCCACACTGAGCTTTGTACCAAGAATTCCATACCTATAGCCTCTGAGAAGTTGAGCAGTATAGGTTTCCTTGTTTCCATCCTCATGCCTTCGAACATCCACCCTGTAATGCTTCCCATAGATATCTTTTCCTACCCCTAACTTGGTGTCAGTAACTCTAGCCGTGTCTTGCTTTTGAATTTATACTTGCATTTGCACTGGTCCATAAGCTCCTGTATAGTGGGTGGGGCACGTGGTTGACCGTCATTTCGCTGCGGTCTTGGTCCCGCTAGTCAAATCATGAGCGTTACTTTGACTGATAAGTAGGATGTTATTGCAAACCTGGTTCTTCGGTGTTCTCGAAACCCTGATCGTCTTGCGGAGTCTCCTCTTCTGGCGCAGCGACCAAGTCTGGCGTGGGCGAAGCGGGCTCTTCTGCCTTTCCCTTGCCCTTGTTGGATAAGCTTCCAGCCTTAGGACTGGATGAAGACATATTATATGATATGGGGTGTTATATTTTCTAGGAGGTTGACAGTGTTGATCGTATTCTGATTTTGGTAGATAGCTGATCGACTGTTGATGCGAGTGTGTATCCATAGAAGCAACAGCGCTGTATGGATTTTATATACCGTACAATACACTCATACTTGAGAGTCAGAAAGGATTGTTACAGTAGTTACTCATTGCACGTCGACACACTGTTGTTGCGAAGTCATACGAAGGGCATGACTTCAACTTGCTGTATCTTGCTCCGAGCCTCTGTGCACTCATCACTGTTGGTCAGCGGGACTCCTTCGACAGATGATTGTATAGACTTACGGCAGATCACGTAGCCCAGATCGCAGCCATCTTTGTACAGGACTGCCACAAGATTGGGCATGTATCAGATCATCACCACTTCAGACACGAAGCCGTACCGCCGCCTTATGTTACACACTGTAGTTTGATGCCTGAATGTCCATTGATGAACTTCAATGGTCACTGAGTATTTCCTGGTTTGCGAAGTTATGCTTTCCAAACCACGGGACTTGATAAGCTTACGGGCTGTACGATCGCCGCACCTCACTTACGTGTCTGTTTCACACTACCCAGATCTTCGTAGGTAGAGCAGTTGAAGAGTCAGTTCTATCGAGCACGAAAGCTATTCATGACACCCTGTGCTGTCATGGCACGGGTAGAGAGTGGTCAGATCAGTGAGATATCTCACTCAAGGGTCTGAGACCCAGAAATCCTCACGGCTTCAAACAATCAACACAATGCTGAAGAGTCATACTGCAATAGTATATGGGCATGGGCGGACATTCAAGTCATGCAATGCTACGCTTAAGCCGACTCGAAGTCTCTGACGGTCCACATCACCACCTAGGCAGTGTTGGTATGCTCAGACCCGGATGATGTATTGTCTTCGCGCAACCGACAGTACAATGGCACTAATTGTCCAACAACCCAGGTAAAACATCTAATACCGAAGATCTTCCGTTCAAGCAAGTTGCCCCCATGAAGTTGGCCTTAGTACAACCAACGACATCACATCGCTGCCCAGGTGTCGATTCGCAAATCACAACTTGCACAGAAAAGCGAAAACTCGGGTTTCTATGATCATGCACGTCGAATTCGCCAATTGGGCGTAGTATCACCGGCTACTTGTTCAAGGCTCTCCTGGTGTCGTTGTGTACCCGTTGCAGAGGCCCACAATGAATCCTTCCGAGCGGTCCGAGCGGGCACGTCGCACGCGATGGCTTAACAAGCTTCCCAAGCCTTTTCTCGTAATCCCGTCATCTGAGATGCGAGTCACGAGATAGTCGAAAGCATCAAAAGAAGTAAACAATGGAGACAGAATTCTGGGTGACTGACGCAAAGTCACGAACTCAGCCGCACCTTCCGCTAGAGTCGGGCTCCTTCCTGTCAGGCTGGACCCCTCACGATGCGGAAATCGCCACACCTTCAGCTCGCCCTCATGTCCTAAAATAACCACGCAACGACCGCCACGCACCCAATCCGTCGGGGCGATGATTCTAAAGCTTCCACAGCCATCGCCGGCGCGCGATCTATGCCCTCATAGCTCGTGCGAACAGGTAAAGCGCCCGCGTCTGGGCGATGGTTTAGGCCTGCGCACGCTCCACCCCGTAAACGGCGTCATACCTCTTCGTGTTCGGTGATGTCGGCTCCAGCTTCACGCTGCAAATTTGCTTAGCATGGTGGTACTTGTACATCACCGTGCTTTAGAGCTCGAGGCTAGGGTAAGCGTACTTGCTAGGAGCTGAGGGTGAGATGGAATGCTTAAAGTCAGCCTTCGGCCTTGTCACGGCAGGAGCTATAGCCTCGCAACATAGGACGACCAACACCTCCAGAATCAAAGAGAAGGCATCATGGTAGCAGCTCATATGTTGAAGGTTCTGTTGCCGGTCGCTGCGTTTGCGAGCTATGCTGCGGCAGAGCAATGCGCTGGTGGTGAATGGGATGTCATTGTCGTTGGTAAGCTCAAACATGCATCCAAAATCTGGCACCAAAATTGACGTCCTCCAGGTTCTGGTCCAGCGGGTATCGTTACAGCGGACCGCATGAGCGAAGCCGGCAAGAAGACTCTACTGCTAGAGCAGGGCGGCCCATCGTACTACGTGACCGGCGGTCGTGCTCGCCCGGAATGGCTAAACGGAACTGAACTCAGCCGCGTTGATGTTCCAGGGCTGTACAAATCCATCTTCTCGAATTCCGGTGAAGGAAACTTGACATGCGCGTCTGATGTCGTCAACGCGTTTCAAGGATGCACCGTCGGTGGTAACTCCGCAATCAACGCTGGACTGTTCTTCCAGCCACCCGCCAGCGATTGGGATCGCTACTTCCCCCAGGGCTGGAAGAATGACGACATGCAATGCGCAATCAACAAGGTCCGAGCGAAACAACCAAACACAGACAGTCCCTCAAGAGACGGAAAGAGGTATCTGCAGAGCGGCTACGATGCTGCGAAGCAATGGCTCGTTGATGGCGCGGGTTTCGCAGAGGTCGGCCTGAACGATGGCATCGAGAATCACAACAAGACCAAGGTGTTCGGCCACCCGATCTGGTACTACGAGAACGGGCAAAGGAGTGGTCCGGTCAAGACATACCTGCAGTCGGCCCTGGCTCGCTCCAACTTTGCCTTCCAAACTGGCACTAAAGTCTTGCGTGTGCGTCGCGATGGCGGCGTAGCAACTGGCGTCGACGTTCAGACCAACGGTGCCGAGAACTCGTCAAGCATTTGCATCAAAGAAGGCGGCATGGTTATCTCTTCAGCCGGTGCTCTCCTCAGCCCTCAGCTGTTGATGTGGTCTGGTATCGGTGAGGCAGCGACCTTGACAAACCTCTCGAAGAACGGTCATGTTACAGTTCCTTCTCAAGACTGGATCAACAACACCGCTGTCGGCAACGGTGTCTTCGATAACCCAAACACCTTCATCGAGCTCCAATCTGACGAGATTGCCTCGTATGCTTACGACTACTCCAACCCGCCGCAATCCGACGTCGATCTGTACCTCAACGAACGGTCTGGACCTTACACATTCGCTTCCCAAACGAGCGCGTTCTGGGACTACATCCAGCAAGGCGATGATGTAGTGGGTTGCCAGGGCACCATTGACTCTGCCGGAGCGATGGGTCTTACAAAGAACGGAACTATCACACTCAACGTCTACGGCACTTCTGGTCTCCGATCCGTTGGTCGCGTAAACCTTGATGCCAGAGGTATCGCTCTTCCCGCATCAAACTTCTACGCCGACCCCCGCGATGCGACTGCTATTGCGACCTTCGTCTACAACATCTTCCAGGCTCTGCCGGCTACTCTCAACCCGCTGAACGTTGCAAAGAACTCGACTATTGAGCAGATTGCGACTTATCTGACCACGCCAAGCGCGTTCACACTTGGCAATGTGCAACATTGGAGCAGCAGTTGCAGGATGGAGGCCTGCATTGACACGGATACAAAAGTTATCGGGATGCAGAACTTGTTCGTCATTGATGCCAGTATCGTGCCGCCTCTGACCACGAATCCTGTTATGGGTGTCATGATTGCGGCGGAAAGGGCTGTTGAAAGGATATTAGCGTTGAGCAAGTAAACGCATGGGATATGTACTTAATTAATTTACGAATTTCATTCCACGTTCACACAACGCCTTTCTGTCCATGACAACTGCCGTACAACTATCTCCGGTAACTCCTTGCATAATGCCGTGATACTAGTGTGCATTCTGTGCCATACCAAGTGTGGATCCAGGTTACGTCATACAACATCTAGTTCTGCAATACTATATACACTGCCATTACAAGTTCTCCTTCTCGAGCATTGAGTGAGCATTTCGACATTTACTACTTTGCTATCACCCTTGAATTTAGCAAAACCATCATGTCCAAAGATTTCGGTGAAAGCCGCGCCTCCAATGGTACTAAACCTTCACTTGAGCCTTTCCTCATCGCCAGTGCGTATCTAACACACATCTACTAGGCCTGAATTTTGTCGCCACAGACCGTCACGACACTTACCCATACATCTCCCCGTCCAACTTCAATCTCCAAGGAAAGCACGTCTTGATCACCGGTGCCTCAAAAGGCGTCGGCCGTGCCACAGCCCTAAGTTACGCAAAAGCAGGTGCCTCGGGCATAATACTCGGTGCGAGATCCAACCTCTCCACCGTGGTCAAAGACGTCCAAGCCGCAGCCAAATCCGCAGGTCGTTCAGAGCCACAAGTCCTAGCCCTAGATCTGGATGTCACCAGCAAAGACAGCGTAGACGCTGCTGCTAAGCTCGTCACCGAGAAGTTCGATGGAAAACTCGACGTCTTGATCAACAACGCGGGAAGTCTCGCCTCTTTTGCTGGCATCCCAGACACCGACCCGGATGAATGGTGGCGCGACTACGAAGTCAGCGTAAAAGGAAGCTACCTCGTAACCCGCGCATTCTGGCCGCACCTCCTCGCCGGCTCCAAGATCATCATCAATATCACATCCATCGGCGCTGTCATGGTCGTCCCGCAGAGCTCTTCGTACGGGCCCGCCAAATTGGCTTCACTTCGGTTGACCGAGTTTATTGACCAGGACCACGGAGAGGGTAAGGATGGTATGCTGGCTATGGCTGTGCATCCAGGAGGCATACAGACGGAGTTGGCGCTGGGTATGCCGGGACATATGCACGAGTGGCTTGTTGATACGCCGGAGTTGGCGGGCGATACGTTGATGTGGTTGGGGGCGCAGAGGAGGGAGTGGCTCGGTGGGAGGTATGTTAGTGCGTGTTGGGATATGGAGGAGTTTAGCGGGAAGAAGGAGGAGATTTTGGAGAAGGATTTGCTGAAGATGCGGTTGGCTGTTGGTCCGTAGATGGGAGGCTTTGGGAAGGTTCGGTTGCGGATGTGTTCCTCTTATTGTGTATCGATGTGACTATGTGCCAGATTGCCTTTTTCTCTTCTTCTCAGATTCCTTGCTCTTGTAGTCTGCGATCGTGAACCATGAGCACCGTAGGAAAGGTCTCATAACCTGATACCAGTAAGGTAGGTACAGCGAACCGAGGTGTGGGACCGCGAAAAAAGTTTTGAATCTTCATCGTTCCTTCCTCTCTCAAACATGTAAAACGACGCTTGGTGGTTACAGCAGCAGCGTTCCAATAGATTACCACGTACAAAGCGGCACACGTAGCAAGCCGTGGTGTCGAGCGGTTTTGTTTGGCGCAGGCACTGTTAGATTGCGAAATGCAGCCACTGTATGTCGTGCTTTTAGCTGCATGAGTAGCTGTGGCTCAGAGCCGTCAGGAAGATAGGCCTAAAGGTGCGCAATAATAGCATCCAACGATATGGCGCGCGAGGCGCAAACGGCACTGAAAAGGGATGGAGTTTGGCGAGGAACCGTCGGCACCTCGGGCTTAGCCATGCTAGTGAGGGGCACGGCACTCCCCACCACGACACCTTCCGTCCACCAATCCCGCCAGTGACATCATGCATGCTGCTAGAAAACACCATACGAACCCTTTTGGCCAATTCCACCCTGGCATCGGGACAGGGCAACCGCATTACCTGCATCGCCCTCACGCCACGTCCGCGGTTGTGACTGCCGCCCATGTGAGGCGTCCATCCGGACCCTTTGATTGAAGCTGCCAACACTGCATGGTTGGGTCCGCTAGTACCTGTTAATCCGTGCTGCCGGTAGGGATTGCTGCTCAACGAACAGCAATTGTGGGCTCCATCTAGCAATCGTTGATCGGCGGCAGTTTCTGTCTGGGGCTCAGGTATAAGAATCTGCTAGTGCCCCTCTTACTTTTCGCGGTAGGTGCGTCGCTGTTCAGCTTGGAATATATCTGGACTTGTTCTTCACCAATCCCACCGACTGTATTTCTCAGTCGCCTCCCTAGGATACTTGGAATACAGATCCTACCAGAGTCGAGAAGCCGCGACGATGACGAGCAAGCCTATCTTTGTGGCTACTCATCCGAGGGCCTGCTCGACGGCCTTTGAGCGGGTATGCTTGGCTTCGCCGTATCTCGCCCAATTCTGGGTTCTGACATTCCTCTAGGTGTTCATGACGCGTCACGATACACTGCAATGTGTTCACGAGCCTTTCGGCGATGCCTACTACTTTGGACCTGAGCGCCTTGCTGAGCGTTATGAGAATGACCCCAAGGCCAGGAAAGAGTCTGGTTACGAGGACAGCACATACAGGACCATCTTTGATCGCATTGCGAGAGAGAACTCCGAGGTTCGTTCACTAATGCTTTTCATGTTTCTCCTCAGCTTCGTACCATTTCCCCTCAACTTTTCGTTCTTGCGCATCCAATGGATATCTTATATTCGCAATCTCGTCATCTTGGCCGCTATTGCGTGTTGTGTGCCTCAGCCATCCGCCCGCCAGTCAGATCCCAATCAACCCCGCCCCTACTGCAATCATCCCACACGTTCTTTGAAGCCCATCTTGCACAATCTCTCGGCCTTCTAAAGCGAGCGCACCAATTTCAATGAGCCCAACACGACCCCTCGGCTGGGAAACCTCAGGAATGTGGTCTTTCACATGCCCGAAATACCGCCGAAGCATTCCGCTTCCATCAACTCTTATTGCCTTGACTTCAGCCTCACGACAGCCCATTCGACGAAGATCTCTGAGGCGCGAGATGCAGCCTCGTAGAAGAAGCCCATACTCACCTCTTACAGGGCAAGCGCGCTTTCATCAAAGACATGGCCCAATACTGGATTCCCCCCGTCGGCAAGCCCGCGACCATCGCACCATCTCTGTCCAACTACCGCCGTGGCGTAGGAACAAACACCACTGAACTCTCGCCCGTCACCACTCGCAGCGACCCTTCTAAGCCTCCCTACCCATACGATACCAAGGGCGAGCCCAACAACCCGACCGTTATTCCCAAGGACTTGTTGGCAACCTACCACTTCACCTTTCTCATCCGCCACCCGAAATTCTCCATTCCGTCTTACTACCGCTGCACCATTCCTCCGCTAGACAAAATGACGGGCTTCTACAACTTCCGTGAGGATGAAGCCGGCTACGACGAGCTCCGCCGCCTATTCGACTATCTGCGCTCTGAGGGACAAATCGGTCCCAAGTTCGCTGGTCAAAAGGAGGCTGATGCCAACGATCAGGCAAATGGCCACACCGGCGGCGTCGAGATCTGCGTCATCGATGCAGATGATCTGCTCGACAACCCATCCGGCATGATTGAGGCATTCTGCAAGACTACTGGAATTGAGTGGGATCCAAACATGCTCGTATGGGACACGGAGAAAGACCAAGACAAGGCCAAGGAGGCGTTCGAGAAGTGGAAGGGTTTCCATGAAGATGCTCTGGACAGTGATCGTCTGAGGGAACGCACACACGTAAGTTTTGACAAGCTATATCATAACAGGATCAGTTGGAAAGAAGACATTTGCTAACAACGAGTAGAAGAAGGAGCCAAAGAGTGACGGACAGCTCTTCGCTGAGTGGAAGGAGAAGTACGGCGAAGAGGGCGCGAAGCAGATCCGGGATACCGTTGCCGCTAATGTTGAGCATTACGAGTACCTGAAGCAGTTTGCTATCAAGCTATAGGGGATTGTAAGGAAGGACGGACAGAACGAGTATTTCAAGGCTTCGAATCATTACCAAAACATATGGTAGATGATAGACCTAGAAGCATACAATAGGTCAAAATAGCGATAACGAGTTTCATTAGCAAGACACAAACATTTGACTGGAACTTTTATGAAATCCATTACGTTGCGGTATCATGCACCATTTGTTCACTCCTTTAGCAACTACACCGCCACAGACTTCACCAGACGTTCACGCTTGCCTTACCAGCCAATCTACCCACGCGCTCGCTTGAACGTCAGCTGACCCGCCCACCCTGCATCGCGGATACGTGCTTACGCTTACCTACCTCCATCTTGCATCTAGAAGGCCGCCACAATATCCATCCGCCCAGCAGCAAATGACAAAAAGGTCGTTGCGGTGAGTCTCCCCATCATCAAATCAATACAACGCCGTATCGCGGAGAAAGCCGCGCAACGAATGGTTGCACGATAAGAAACATGATATACCTAGTAACAAAGGCGAATTAATGTGACAGATACCCCGAAGGTCACCGCGTCGGCCGCCCCCGCGAACATGCCCGTTTCCCGATTATCCATCTCCTGAGGGTTACAGAAGCGGCGGCCCCGGGAATGTGATTATGTGATGATGGGACGGGGGGCTGTTGGTAAGGCTGCGAGTTGGTTGCAATTGCGGTCGTTGCGATAGGGGCGACTAGCCGACTTCTGGGGTACGGGAAAGGAAGATTGGGTGTTTCAAGATGATTAGGTTTTTTCTTTGTGTGTGTGGACGAGGCCCGAGGTGGTGGACCTTGGCTTAACGTTGAGGAGGAGGTATGGGGCCGTGAAGATAGGGAGCCATGCAGCCGAGGGAGGCGAGTGGAGGCGGGTGGTGCGATGGTTCCAAGTGTAGCGATAAAGACGCTGGTAGTATTGTTGACGTCAATGGGAGCAGACGTGACAGCGACCAAAGGCGTACGTCGTAGTAATATCGATTCCACTAGATAGTAAGAACAACACAAAAACACAAAGAATCTACTCCGCCATAATATGCCCCAAAGCAATCATGCAACATGTACATCGTCCCTCCTCCCAGATAGTCCCAGTTATAATGATAGAAATACACAAAGGTATCAACCAACCGCGAGAGAAACTCCAAAAGCGCCGAGGCCCGGAACACCGACGCTTATCCGTGTGCGTAGAGAATGCGTAGTCTTGCGTGAAAGGACGATAGAGACGAGAACGAAGCTGGTGGGAAAGAGATGGTCATACGCGTATTTGACCAAGTTCGATCTCGCGCCTCCGCTCTTCCCGGCTGAGGTTGCGCGAATGACTGCCTCGTCCCTCTGTACTAGACGGGCGGTTCTCGCTTCGTCCGCGGCCATATTGTGTCCATTGTTCGCTAAGACTATCGGGTCTGCTGTCTGACCGGTCGCGGCCCCAGTCGCCGTGTGTTTGTGCAGGCGTGCCCACCAACTCCTGGCTGTGCTGGTGCCTTGCCTGTTGCTCCCTGTCTTCTGGCAGGTCTATCCTGAATGTGGTGTTTATATCAGGACTCGGTCGCGGGTCTCCTGATTTGAGGAGGAGAGCCATTTGCTGGTTCACGCGGTCGTCTTCGGAGTATAGGGCGGCGGGTGGCTGGGAGGGCGAGCGCATGGCGGTGGGGTACATGTTTGGGATGAAGTTGTTGTAGTAATTTTGGTCGGACCAGAGGTTCTGACGTGTGTCGGTTTGGCGCTTGGACTTGACTATGCGGCGGTATGTCCAGAGGAGGAGGGAACTGTAGAGGATTGTTCCGGCGGCGCTGATCACGGTCCCGCTTATGGCGGCATTTCCCCAGTGATAGTTGGGCGACGAGACGAAGTTGTAGGCTATCGAGATAAGGCCGAGTGCAGAAGATGTGAGCGCAGGTCTACACATAAGGTTAGTATTCCGCTGTTGGTGGAGGCATGGAGGCCTTACAGGAAGACGCCGTCGGCTTGGAAGCGCTCATTGCGACAGGCGAAGCAGAGCAGTGCTGTGAATGAGTAGCCGGCTGTAAGGAGCGCGACAACAAAGACGGATAGGACTGCTCGGCTGAACTTGAGCTCGTATGTTTCTCTGTAGAGGCCGGGCAGTATGAGGTAGCTTCGAGGCGTTAGCATGCTTTCGTCTGAGCCGCCTCGAGACGCATGGCAAGTACTCACCCTCCGAGTATCATCCATGACGCAGCCAGGGCTATAAGGCGCCAGTACCACGGCGTGCCCTCTCTCTTCTCATGGCCCGACTCGCTGATGTTGTGATAGCTCTTGTTGCTAGAGCGCATTGAGTCGG